TGGCCTTCCCGCCCCCCCCCCCGACTCCCCCACCCCTCTCTCCCCTTCCTCTTCTTCAGTTAAATCCTCTTCTCTTCTTACTGGCTTCCATGACAACCCTCTCTCTCTGCTCCCCTCCTTCCTCACTGACCAATCATCATCTGTCTGTCCTGCTCACATCGTTGCCAGATTCATCTCCTAGAAGCCCAGCTCCAGCGGTTCCCAATAAGCACTTCTCTGTTCAAAACTCTTCAATGGCTCCCTATTGCCTTTGAAAAGAAGAAGAAAGAAAAAAAAGAAAAAATATTTATTTAAACCAACCATCATGAAATTGTGAAATCATGAACATTTATGCAATCATAACTTATAATACAGTAATCGGTCAGGAGTCTTAAACTTTCTGAATAGCCAAATCCTCAAACTCCATTAAGAGAAATACTTTTCAGAAGGCCAATGTTTACAGCGTGTGAAAACAACATGTTCTTTAAACATGGCTCTTTTGAAGCAGGGAGCGGGGACCCTTGAAATCCAGTGGGGACATTAACCTCCTCAGTCTGCAGATGAGAAAAGCGAGGCCTAGGGAGAGCATATGATGAGCAGGAGGGGACACAGGATGTAAGTGACAAGACAAAGCTTTCCCATCAGGTGCTTAGTGGGTATGTGGTGTGTTCCTAGGTCCTAGGGATACAAAACAGGTATTGTCCCTGACCTAGAGTGGATGAAACATTGCAAATAATCAATCACCAATGAGACTGCGGGAATACAGAAAAGAGCTGTGGGGAGACAGGGCGCAAGTCTGGTCTACCTACCACCACGAGAATGTGGTACAAGTGAACAAAAGAAAAGGAAGCTGACCAAAAAAGGGGGTGGGGCTTACAGAAGAAATACATTTGATGGCCCCCAGGAAAGTAGAGTCTCCCCTATGCAAAGCCCTAGAACAGAGGAATGTGAGGCTTCTAAAGCAGGAATGATGCAGGAAGAGACATTGCTGAGGCCATGATAATGGCCTGAATTTGGCAGGCCAGGGAAGGAAGGGATCAGCTTGGAGCTGATCGCTTGCATTAGAAAATTACTTGTGAGCGGGGCGGTGGTGACGCATGCCTTTAATCCCAGCACTCAGGAGACAGAGGCAGGTGGATCTCTGTGAGTTCGAGGCCAGCCTGGTCTACAAGAGCTAGTTCCAGAACAAGAACCAAAAAGCTACGGAGAAACCCTGTCTCGAAATATAAAAAAAAAAAAAGAAAAGAAAAGAAAATCACTTGTGTTAAATGCCAGGTGGTGTCCTGATTTAGATCCTAGAAGAGGAAATAAAGAGAAAATAGACATTTAGGAATTTGAGAAAATACAAACAAACTCTTTATTTCATTTAATAGAGATATAGTAATGCTAATTTCTTAATTTTGCTACATGGCTCATATATAAGTCATTAACATTTAGGAAAGTAGGTGAGGGTCAAATGAAAACTACACTCTCTTTTATGCTTTTAACGATCTTTTTTCAAAAAATTATGCTTGTGTGTATGTCCATGCGTAAATGCAGAAAAGTATGTCATGTCTCTTGGAAATGGAGTTACAGGTGATTGTGAACCACTTAAATCGGACTCTGGGAATTGAACTTGGGTCTTCTGGATAAGTAGCAAATACTCTTAACCATGGAGCCATTTCTTCTGCCTTTGTTATGCCTCTTTTGTAAATCCAAACCTATTTCAAAATAAAATATACTTTAAATTTACAGGATGGGAATGCAATGTCTGTATCATACTTTGATATTATATATATATATATATATATATATATATATATATATCCCCCTGGCAGAGAAGAAGACAAGTGTATGTGGAAACAGAGATTATAGGAATGATGATGACCAACATTACAACAGTTTTCTCTGTATGCTAGGCATTGTTCCAAGTGTGTACCATGTTTAATCCTCACAATCCTAAAACATGTATGTTATCTATTCCTATTATACAGATAAGGAAGCTGAGCACATGGAAGTTAAGCTGGCAATTGATTGCAAACCTGAAGGATGGATCAAATTTGAACCAAGGGAGGCAAAAGAGAGAATGACAGGTTTATGGGACAGCTTGTGGAAGTATGGGGGAATGAACTTGTCTAAAGACACATAGTTACTGGGGGCTATCGTATAAAGACACATAGTTACTGGGGGCTAGCCTATAAAGACACATAGTTACTAGGGGATAGCCTATAAAGACACATAATTACTGGGGGCTGTCATCTAAAGACACACAGTTACTCAGGGCAGGAACCGGCATTTAAGAATCTGAATCCAGAGCTGAAGAGATGGTTCAGTGGTTAAGAGTGAATATTGCTCTCCTGGAAGACATGAAATCAACTCCTGGCACCCACTTTGTAACTCAACTTCAAGAGATCTGATGTCTCTGGCCACTTCAGGCCCTGCACTCACAGGTATATACACATATTAAAAATAATAAAATACATATTTTAAAAATAATTTGAAGTCAGAGCTGGCCATGGTGATGCACAGCTATAATTCCTAGTACTTAGGAGGTGGAGACAGGTGAATAGCTGTGAGTTTGAGGTCAGCCTGGCCTACATAGTAACTTCAAGGTCAGCAAGGACTATGTAAAGAGAGCCTTCTGTCTGTCCAGTTGGTGGTAGTGCATGCCTTTAATCCCAGCATTTGATCTACAAAGCAAGTTCCAGGACAGCCAGGGAGGTTACACAGAGAAAACCCTGTCAAAATAACAAAACAAAACAATACAAAAAAAAAAAAACCTGTCTCAAACACAAAACCAATAACCAAAATAGCAAAAATGAAATCTTTAGGATTGGGGAGGAAAAGAAAACAAAAACAAACAAAAAACCACCTCTTAAACTGGGTGGCCAAGGCCTTTAATCCCAGCATTTGGGAGGCAGAAACAGAAAGATGCCGTGAGTTCAAGACTAGCCTGGTTTACATAGTGAGTTCTAGGACAGTCAGAGCTGTCTTTAAAAGGGGGGCGAGGGGTTAGCACATGCCTTTAATTCCAGTATTTGGGACCAATAGGCAGGCATATCTCAGTGAGTTCAAAGTCAGCCTGGTCTACAAAGTGAGATCCAGCACAGCCAAGACTGTTACACAGAGAAATCCGGTCTCGAACCCCCACCCCCAAATGGAAAGTGTGTGCCACCACCACCCAGCTTGTGGTCCCATCTCTTAAGCTAGGAGCCCAGAAGTCCAGGAGTCCTTTTATCCACTTAATTGTCACATTCCAGTTGAAAGCAAAAGCTGATGGTTCTGCCATGTCTTTGCCAGAGGGTGTTGTGAGGACCACACAGAAACCACGAGCACAGGACAAGGATGATGTGCACAGAAGTGAAGTAGTGTCAGCATGCAAAGGGCAGGACAGCGGTGGCACACACCTTTAATCCCAGCACTCCTAAAGCAGAGGCAGGCGGATCTTGGAGCTCGAGGCCAGCCTGGTCTAAAGAGTGAGTTCCAAGACAGCCAGGGATACCTTACACAGAGAAACCCTATTTGGAACCACACCTTGCACCTTTCTGATGCCTGGTCTTATTTTCCTTCCTATCAGCAGAGGAAATCTGATGGAGAAATAGGAAAATTGAAAGAACTTGGTGTATCTGAAGTATCCCCTTGAACCCAAACCTATGATGTGTCAGGCACAAGCAAGAAAATCATTTTGGCTTTGGCAAACTTAAAAGCACTTGCCAGCCAGATGGGAGCTTCCTGACTGCCAGCCTGGCCACCACTCGCTAAATTTAACAGGGCATTCACCAGCTTAAGACCCTCCTGCGGCCACTACCTGGCATAATTCTAATTTACAGATTTGACCTTACCTCAAGCTGAGGCTGGGTTGGGACCAATTATTTAAGAGCTCCCTACCTAATACCCTAGCTGTTGCTCAACTTTGTGGTTTTCCCTGTGCTGACCCCTACCTTAAATCCAGTTGCTTGAGGGACTGAGTCTGAGACCTTCAGTCAGTCCCAGGGCTCCCTTCTCATAGAAGGGTCCATCCCAGCTCAGGCTAAGGTAGATGTTTTCCTGGTGATTCTGAAAACCCACTACACTGTGGTGAGTGACTCCTCGGAACTTCGGTTTCTGTGTCCCTCCCTAGACTAGACCCAGTTTCGGGCAAGGACCAACTGTGAGACCACGCAATGCATTCCCAGGTCTGGCAGTTACTGGGTTAGAGAGTTGTTCCTGAGTTACGCATGTGACACCTAAAAGGCTACAGGGAGTGAGTGTTCGGGTGAGTGGAGTGGCTCCTTTGGGAGACCGAGCCCAGTAGAGGGAAAGGGTCACCCTCCTTTATCCTCCTGCCCCTCCTACTCCTGGAAAGAGAAATTTACATTTTATCTGAATGTGGCTGCTTCCGGGTGCCTCTGTGCCCTTGGGGCTGGGCAAAGGGCAAAGGGGGCGTTGTCTGGTCAGGCCTCCTGGGTGTGTTCTACTCTCTTGACTGGGAAACCCTGTCTGTCTGCCTCTCCCAGGCCAAGGATGGGGAACAGAAGGTCTAGGCTTCAGACTGCTAAGGGCCCCTCCAGCTCAGTCACCTTGGCAAGAAGCCACCCGGATGTGGTGGGTGGCGAACAGGATGGGGCGGAGAGTCCAGGCCGTTCTGGGACACCGACTGGATGGACCACTTTCGCGGGAATCCCGCAAACCGCTCAGAAACGAGGTGCGAGCAATGGTAGCCGACTTGGTTTCTTGTTCTTTGAGGGAAAGCAGAATGCTTCCATTTCGGGACAAGGACCCTCTGAAGGCAATGAGGATTATAAAGGACGTCCCACTAGAAACCTGAGTGCCCTGATCTCATCCACTAATGCTTTCCCTCCGCTTCTCCACAGCTTTCGCGGTTGATCCTCCGTTAAGCAGCTTCTGTCCTACGTCCACATCTCGGGGTGCAGATGCTTAGCCAGCTGAGTTCTAGACTGTTCTCTGTTTCTTTCTACCCGGGACCACTCTCTACGCCCTCCTCTGGGCCTTTGTTTCCTCATCTGTGAAATGGGCCCAGGGTTGGAGGAAAGGGCTAAAAAAGCCCCCGGAGCTCGGACAATGCCAGATCCAGCGTTCACACGGCTCCCCACGGCCGCCCCCTCCCCATCTTAACTCCACCCCTACCGAGCAGCTTCTCTCCATTGCCGGCCGCTAGGGGTCACTGCCTCCCTTTGTCAGCGACCGGGGAGGGCAGCCCGCCCTCCGGCCCTCTCCACGGCCGAAAGGCGACTCGAGGGGCATCTTGCTAGCGAAGGGGTCTGCGTGGGACCCCACGGCCACGCTCGCAGCCGCAGCTGCCTGGGTTGGGAGGTGCAGGAGCGCGGGCGGAGACCCGGCCAGGGTTGGGCCGGGCGCGTGGGAGCCAGGAGGGGGTTAACGCTAACCCCTCCCCCCGGGCTGACATCACGGGAGAGCGGGTGAGAGGCTGGTTCGGCGAGTGAGAGAAAGAGAGGGAGCGCAGCAAGCGCGGCTCGCCTCGGCTCCCAGGCAGCTCCACATTGTTGCGGATCGCCCGCACCGGGCGCAGCGGCAGCGGTGGGGACCCGTGGCGCACCCGGCTTGCTCCCCTCGCACCTCCAAGACCGCGCAGCCCGGAGCCTCGAGGGCAGCTGGCCGCCGTAGCCGCACACCACCGCCTGGGCCCCGAGCCCTCCGCACCGCCCGGCCACCCTCGGAGAACAGCCGGCCATGGACGCCTGCAAGTTGGAACCGAGCGGGAGGGTGTGAGTGCGCCCAGGGCCGGGAGCCTGCGCCGCGCTAGTAGGGCAGCCGGGCGCGCCGGGGGTGGGTCCCTCTCCCCAGCCCGGCTCTGCGTGGAAGAAGAGGGCGGGGACCGGATCGAAGAGGAGGAGAGCAGAGGAGGCGAAGGGGGCATGACTCGTGCAACTTGCGGCGGGCATCTGCTGAGGCTCTGAGCCGGCGGCAGCCCGGGCCCGGATTGCGGCCGCGAGGATCCCACCCAGCCCATCCCGCCCCGGCCGACGGCTGCGGCTGACCTGGATCCACCGAGCGCCAGCCGGCCGCCAGCGATCCGCCCTCGTCTTCCAGGCTGGTTTCTGGAGCGCGAGGAGCGCCCTCCTGGCCGCCCCTTTCGCCGGACCCCCGCCCTCCGATGGCTCGGATGGGGCTTGCGGGCGCCGTTGGACGCTGGTGGGGACTCGCTCTCGGTTTGGCCACCTTCTTCCCAGGTAAGGCGATCGCCTCTGCTTCCCACCCCCCATATCCCCCACCCAACCAGAGCCTCCTCGGGACTGGGAGCTGGATGACGGGCACGACTGGGTTGTAGGGAGCGAACGGAGCCAGAAAAGTTGGGTCACGCTTGGATGGGGGGGCAGGAGGTGGCACCGTGGAGAAAGGGGTTGAGAAGCCGAACAGCCTGCCCTGCAGGGAAGCAATCGGATGCACGTCTCTATGTAGCAAGAAAGCACTTTCTCCGCTTAGTTCTTCACAAAAATAATAATATGTAATAGGGTTCTATTTATTTAATAACCAGTTCTCAGCTCGAGAAGCAGTTTGGAAACACTGAGTGTTACATAAATGCAAAATAATCACGGTAATCACGGGCTTGGGGTATGAGACAACAGCCCCAGGGGGAGGGCGTCAGTCTCGGAGCTGGTGGGCTGTGGGCTTAGAAGGTTGCAGGGGGGCTTCGTTTCTTTTGGCGGCCTCTTGTCAGACGGTTTCGGGCTCGCGGGGGGGCCCCTGTTGTCCCACATCGCCCCACAGCGGGCGCTTGGAGCCGGCTCCTGCGGCACAAGCAGCTTCTTGCTCACCTGCGGTTCCTTTTCTGGAGGGTGAGGCCGGGCCGTTTTGGGATCTCAAACTCCCGGCCTTGCGCGGGACTGGGCTCCGCCTTGGAACTCCACTTCTAAAGCAGAGGGCTCCCCCAGGAGGAAGCTCCGTGGGCTTCATGCCAGCCAGGTGGCCGCATGACCCACTTTCCCGAGAGGCCCCGAAGGTGTCCCGCGAGTCTTTCCTCGAGGTGTGAGCTGCTGGCAGAAGAGGGGTTAACTCCGCGTCCGACCCTGAGGTGGCCCGTGGTGGCCCGTTCTGACGGATGGGGTGGGGGGCGGAGGCTGGGACCGGCCCAGGCATATTGTGCTGGGGAATGAACTGGAAAATGCGTTTAGGAGGCAAATCCTACCGAGTCCCCTTGCCTGGATTTAACCCCTTGTGTCCCTGGGGAAGCAACTGAGCTGCCAACAGGAAACTAATTTGGGTCAAGGTGGGGAAAGCATCTCTCTAGCCACCCCCCCCCCCCCGGAAACAAACCTGAGATGAGCTCTGGCCTTAGCAAGATGGGGCTTTGGGGGGCTAGGGGAAGCTTGACTGTAACTGGTGGTCGCCAGCCTGGGGTGGTAGAATACGGTGTTGGATTAAGAATATTGGCTTCCCAGCCAGTGTGATTCTTCAAGCTTGCCAGGCAGTTTGTTAGGAAGAGACTGGCCTGACTGTCCAGGTGTGGCTTGGATGCACTCCTGGAAGACAAGAGCCTGGCCTCATTTACTTCCTTTCCTGCCTCCTTCTGCCGGCCAGCTCACTGCTAGGGCACTGCACCTCTTTATCAGTGGTGGGTGCCAGGAAAGCGATTTGGGGAAGCAGGGGCATGGGTAGTGTGGAGTACTAGCCCCTTGAGTGTCCCAGGAGGGGGCATTCCACACTGTTCACAGGAACGTGCCGAACCCTCCGCCAGTATGGTCTGGGTGGTAATGAGAGGTTTTCATCCACTTTCTTGCTGCTGATGTCAAGTGCAGTACAGAGAGAAACTCAGCCTCTAGAATGTACCTGGTCAGCACAGGCTTAAGAGAACCTTTTAAATCCCTAACCCTTCCTAGAACCCAGAGCAAGGAGAACTCACCAAGAGCCCTAAGGATCCCTAGCACGCTAGGGGTTAACCTAATCCTGGGATGGACAAAGGGCCAGAGGATTTGAGGAAGGAGGCTCACCCCTCTCTATTTGTTGCTCTATTTCTCCGTTTTGGGTTGAAGCATGGGTTGAAGCATGTTTAATTCCATCCTTGGGGGTTAATGGCCCGATGTGCTCCGCCTACAAGACAGGGAGGTGACACTCACCTGGCTCAAAGCAGTTGCTCCCCCACCAAAAATCTAGCAAGAAGCTAGGATGCCCAGAAAGGAATCACAGCCCAGAGGTATTTTAGTAGGTGCTCTGCCACTGATTGTGACTGGTGAATGGGTGCCGTGGAGGCAACCGAAGTTCCTGGGCTCACCCAGCTCCTAGATGGAGCCTGTCTGCTGTCCTGCTTGCTTTCTGAGTCCGCTGTGACAGAAAGCGGCAGATATGGCTACACTCAGTCTGGTCCTCCGACTGAGAAGGCTGGAAGGCCCAGCTGGCACCCCATCCCCACTGTCCACCTTCCTCTCCCTTCCTCCGCTTCTTCCTACTCTGGCCTTTCTCTGGGGATTTGCCAGTCTGCTGCTCTTTCCTGGGTTCTCCTGGGCTGCGACAGGGAACACTGTGGAAGTGGAGAGGAAGGAGCCCCCAGTGTATGTGATGATTCCCGACTTCGTAACACAGCTGATCTGGCTCTTGAAGTGTACAAAGAGAAGTATGTTTCTGTATGATAGACAGTACAGGTAGGGTAGAAAGGGCCCAGGACTTTGTTCCCGGAGATGATAGGTTCCTTCCAGGGTGCTCACTTAGAGGAGAGGGTCAGTGTTACCCACAGTGTTACCAGAAGAGGATGGGGTGGAGAAGCTGCCTGGGAAGTAGGTGTCCCACCTATACCACACCCTCTCTAATTGGCTTCCCTACACCTTTGGTCTAGAAAGAAACCCACACCCTAGGTGTCAAGCTCACCATGCCAAGACCTATCAAGCCACAGCACCCATTCCTGGTGCTTTCCTTTGAAGCCCCCTGAGCTAAGCTGTTGGGTTCTTTTCCTTTTGCCTGTTTCTCAAAGACCATGGTGGGCTTGGATTTACTGGGCCAGGCATCATAGCAGCATCCATTCTCCTGGCCTGGGGTTTGCAGTGTCAAACACAGCCGTCTCCAGGCCTATTAGTCAGGTAGCCTTGCGGAGAGCGTCTGAGTCAGATTCAAGGCCTAACCCTCAAGGCTGGAGGGAAGGCTGGATACTGCAGAGCGTGAGCCCAGCAGTCCTGGCCGAGTGGTCTATAAGCTTTCTGAACCTGGACTAGTCCACGTAGCCAGTGGCTTCCTAAAGCAAGCTGGGACCAGTTGTAGGCTGCCGGTTCCTTCCTTGGCCACTTGGCTCTGCACATTGAGTCCACCTGGGCGATCGCCTGGGCTGCCTGGCCTGTGGGCCCAGTTGTAGGCTGCCAGCGTGGCTGTGCCCACAGCTGAGCCAGCGGGCTGGGTTGGAGGGCCAGAGGGTCGGCTCCCATTGCTGCATCTATGATGCTCCCATTGTTTAGCAGCTGACTAATGTTCATTGTTCAGCACAAATCGAAAACACCCAAGGGAGGTGTGACTGTAGCTTCTGCTCTTCTGATGGTATCTTTCCTGGTTAGCTTGGCAAATTGAAAACCTCTCTACTGAGGAAGGGGCAGAGAGGTGTCTGCATCACCTGTTGGGCCTTTTTTTTTTTTTCACCTTTAACTTTGAACAGTAGCCAGCACTCCAGGTAAGAATGTTCTGTAGCCAGTTGTGGGACTTGGCCTCTAACATTCTGACAGGCTCGCCTTTGCTCCAGAGTGGGTGTGTATACACACATGTGCATGGGGCTCTGTGTGGTGATGTTGGTCACCTCCAATTCACTGTTACAAGCACAGATATGCAAGAACTAGAATTAGTTAGTATCTGTATTCATATTTGCGATTACCATGGAACTGGGGCTGTAAGTACCAAATGCATGTTCACACATAACTGACTTTTTATGGCATCCGGATGGGTTGCATCGGTAGCTTTGAGCCTTGACAATGCCTGTGTCTACCTCAGTGACTTGAGGGTGACTTCGGGAAGAGACCCAGAATTTGCTCTTAGCTAGCTTACTCCAGGAAAAACTGCCGGGTCCCAGGAAGCCTTTGTGCTGCTTTCTTGCTTCTCTGTCCTTGGCTTTCCCCTAAATCCTTACAGGGAAGAGCACAAGACCTTGACGACACCTGGAAAGGCTTCTCTCTTCTTGTGAACCTTCTGTTGTCTCCTCTGTTCTCCCTTCAGCCATCAGAGCAATGCTGGAGCCATAATGGGCCTGGCCTACTCCATAGGTTCTCAAGATCCTGAAATGTCTGGAAGGGGCCAGGGGACATAGGTTTTCAGTTCCTCCTTATGGATCTTTGCTTCCTGCATGGGCACTTAGGGAAAGGAATTTGGGGGAGTTAGGTACCACACTGTCCTTTTTCAAAGATAGCAAGTCGTTTGGTTCCTGTAAGAAGTCTGCAGAGCCGGGTGGGTGGCCAGGTCAGCAACATGAATGTACCTGAGAGAATCCTAGGCTTGGGCAATAGAAGGAGAGAGCCCATTTGTTAGAAAAGGAGGTGGCAGGAAGAAACAAGGAATAGGACACAGTGGTCTTGGGGGCTTAGCCTCCTCACCCAAGCCTAGCACACAAGTATTCCCCTGGGCTGCCGACCCCACTCCATAGAGAACAAGCCCACAGAGCCAACAGCAGATGTGCTGGCTGAGACAGGAGGTAACTTAAGATCTGAGCCAGATCACCTTGCAGAGGGAATGCCCTGAGCTGGAGATAACACCCCTGCATCCAGTTAACCCTTGAAGCTCCGAGTGCCTGGTGGAGCTAGAAGAGGAAAATGAAGAAGTGTGAGACAATGTGTCAGATACACTCTCAGAACCTCGACCCTTCCACAAGCAGAGGCAAACCCAGTGTAACAGGAGAGATCCAAGACAGACCCAGAGACTGTGTGATAGGTAGGGTCTTGAGGGCAATTGGTAGGTAATCTTTATCCTGGGAAATGCAGAAGAGGAAGTTATAGGGTTTTATTCTCCAGGGGTAGGGCATGAGAACTGTGCCTTTCTCAGACTCTCAGAAGAAGGCAGAGAAGCAGGTCGCTTAGCTGTCCTCCCGTAACCAAGTATTCACCCCATCTTGGTGGCCCAACTTAGTGAAAACTGGCCAAGCTAGGTTGGAATCCCAGCTCTACTGATGACTAGTTGAGAAACCTTAGCAGGGTTGCTGCATAAGCCTCAGGTTTCCTATCTGTAAAATGGAACTAAATGTTGCTATGATATCCAGGCTTTCAAGGAAAGA